CTTTGCCACTGATTATAAGCTAAGGGAGACTATATCATAACATGTGGAAAGTAATTTTCATACTTGTAACCCTGACAAAATGAACAATAATTATATATCTAGAGAATATTGATAACCATCATGTTCATGTTCTAAAAAATTTATTAATGCTTTCCACTCTAATAGTTGCATTATTTATATGTAGCTTTGGAGGTTGATCAGCAATTAATGTCGTTTCTCAGTAACTTTTTCCTGCATCAGCCTCATACTTGCAAAACTAGACTCCCAAAAAGATGTACTATGTATACCCAAAAAAGGAAAAAGTACTGTAGACGAAATCTTTTCCATTTAATTTATAAATATAAAATCTGATTCAATTCAAGCTTCATTATTAATTACATGCAAATGTACGTACTATTCAGTTATTTTTCTTTGGTTAACAAAAGTACCTTTTAGTATTATGTCGCAAATATTGACAGCTGAAAAGTTAATCATCGACTTTTTTTCTTCTAAAATATATTTTTCCAGCACTTTTTTGCCCTTTTGGAGTCTTTCATCTGTAGTGTATCAGCGTATCCGTATATTTAAATATTTGGCCAAATTATATTTTTACTTTCTTTTAATTTGACTCGAAATCACTTTGTTCTTTGTGGTTAAAATACAGGGATTAATCAAATAATGAGAGGTAAGTTTGATGTATAAGAACTCAGCGAGGTAGGGATGAGAGCATGTATTTGATCCTCCTCAGTATCATATTTGGAAGAGATTTAAAGTGTATATATATATATATATATATATATATATATATATATATATATATATATATATATATATGAGATCATTTGACTTCTAGAGTAAGAATTATAAGTCTTACTCTTTATCTCAGCCATTGATTTCTATCCATCTAACAGTTATAGTTTATGAAGTCATATTAATTACATTACAAATGACAACCGTTGATTTCCTTTTATTAATGGCTAAGATGAGGAGTAAGACTTACAAATCTTATTCTGAAGACAAAAGAATCCTCCCCATATATATATATAGGGATTACTCGAATTATAGGAGCTAATTGTATTTTCTATACACACATAAAAATGTATGAGATCCATATTGTCCAATGTGAAGAGTGATGAACCAACTCGTTTGAGGCCCATTGTTTGTTGCCTTCTGTATCCGGTTGTTGTGGCTGGTGTTTAAGTAACATAGCCAAAACGTAGTTGTTTTGGTCTGTGATGGTTCAATACACCAAGTCACCACCTCATTGGTCATACGTGGCATTTGTGATACATTAAATGAAAATATCTCTCTCTTATACTCTCTGAATTCTCTTTGGAACCTTCAAGGTTAGGGTTTGTGTGGGTGAGTCTTTGACAAAAATCACTGTGATTGAGTGAGTTTTGATTTCGGTCCTTTGGAGAACCTTGAAGAGCTTATCAAGGTGCATTTGTTGATTGAGGAACAGTGATCAAAGTCTTATCCGTTGGCAAAAATTTTATCCAAATATCACGCGAACAATATTTTTTACTAGATTGTCATATGTTATAATTCGTTACCATTGATAGCGAATTTCGTGGCCAATAATTTTGTGACACGTGACCATATTGCAAACCAAATTCGCTACCACTTGAAGTGAATTATAACACGTCAGCTCTTTCCTGCGAAAGTGTGCCACATGTCATAAAATTATTGGCGAACGTAATTCGCTATCAGTCGTAGCGAATTAAGCCTACGTGACATTTGGATAAAATTTTTGCCAAAAGATGACATTTTGGTCACTGTTCCGTTGATTGGTCCACTTTTCAGTTTGGAGCTAATTAGTGAAGGAGGTGTTTCGTGAAGTAAGAAAATATTTAACATGAGATAAATAATTTTCTTACACACACTCAATAGTGAGAGCTATTTATATTTCTCTCTTTTGTATAAGTGAGTGTATAAAAATGAGTTTATTTCATCTTAAACATGAAATAAACAATTCCTGTAGTTTATATATGATTTAATTGTCCTACACGTTGTTTTTCTTTAATACTATTTAAATAACATCTTTTAAAATTTATGTCCTACACGTTGTTTTTCTTTAATACTATTTAAATAACATCTTTTTAATCCCATTCATGCATGCTTGTTTTGCAAATGAGAAATTAGATCAAATTTTATTATTATTTTTCTCTTTTTATAATCCTGAGAATATGAGTTAGTATCTCAAGACGATAGTCTTGAAATTAGAAATGGACTACACGTTTAACAAGGACGAACGATCGAGGTGCAAAGCTAAAATCCAATTGTTTTTCCTTTTAAAAAGGTTCTAAAATTCTTGTGCACATGAATCTTCTTGTTTTATGTGAGGGTCATTTTCGGGAATATGAACAGAATATCTGTAATACTTACTAAATAAATTACAAATTGTTATACCTATTTATCTCCTGATTACTTTTTGAATATAATTCTTCTCATTTTATTTTTTTTCGTTTTCTATATTCTTTATACTTAACTTTTTATAAAAAATATAATTTTATCTGTAGAATTTACAAAATTTATATTCCTGATTAATATATTTATTTAATATTACCAAAAACTTACAATAATTTATACTAAATCATAAAATTTAATTTTAAAAAAAATTAAAAATTGGTTTAATAATCACATATTTTCCATATATGTATGTGGAAATTCTTTTGTAAATTAAATTTTCAAATTTTTTAAAAGTATTTTAAAATTTTGTTTTTATAATATATTTTTTCCATACTTTCAAATGTAAAACCAATCTTTACTTAATATGAGACTATCTCTTCCGATAAAGTGTTTTCTTTGCTGCGCTTTCGAACTTTTTAGCAATGAAAAAGTCTTAACTTAAATTTAAGATTCTCAAAGTGAACCAAATTATCTTTTAATCTCCAACTAGTATTAAATTCAAAAAACAAAAAAAAATGTTGCTAGGGTATAGAAGTAACTAGGCTTTCTTTCATGTATATATATATATAAAAAAAAAAACTAGGCTTTCTTTGGAAAAGGACAGGCATGGAAAAACAACAGACACAACACAATCTTGTTCCAAAAAAGAAAGAAAAAAAGGAGGCCCTCGAGATGCCATCTACAGTAATCTCACGGCCCAGAAAGAAGAAAAAAGAAAAAAGAAAAAAAGAGAGTGGGTTGGGATAAGTAAATTTAGGCATCGATGATACATGGTGTTGTTTCTTTCAAGTGAAACAATAAAGAGTGGGAAAGAAAAACCATAAAAAGCTGTGAGGGTGTCCCTTTCAAAAGGTTTGGTGGTGCCATGTAAAGGATCAATCTATCAAAAGAGCATCCACACACACAATGCCTAGAGATATATAACCAACGGTTCTAACTTCTAACCAGCAAGTAAAAAAATATAACCATATATATAAAAAACCAAGACCAGAGCTGGCAAAGTGGGAGGGCAATTAGCCCCTCAAAAAATAAGCGAGTTTGTCCTGTCTTGTTTGGTGGATTGAACGGATTGGCTGGTCAGTCCGAGCTATTTTATACTGATCCATCTCGGTCTGTTTATGTTCGTCATCAATTCACCAAAAAATAAGTTTGTCCCGCATCATCTTGCTTTTGAGATTGGTTGAAAAACTCAACTCGCCCTGCTCTATTTAGCGGATGGGGCGGGTTGGCCCGCCGAGCCAAACCTCAACTGTTCTAACTCATATCCACCATAAGCATATGGATTAATTCTTAAGCATTATTACAATCAATTTAATTAGTAATATTGAATTCAGTTTTTCAAAATATAATTGTGTTAAAATTTGATAGAGAATAGTTTATTGCTGAAATGATTTTATTCGGCTTGAATCGATTAATAGAGTCATCATGAACCAATAAACAATATAAAAAAAAAATTTGTACCCACCTAGCACATAAATAAACACATAGTATATAAATAAGAGTAAAAAATCAAACAGCGAATTAGAAAAGGGTGAAGGACGGGTGATTGAATGAATTTTTGGATGGGATTTGGTGGTGGATAGGGGTGTTGAAAGAGCTTAGGGCTTTCAAGGCCTTTCGCTTAACTTGTGTAGATTTGGCTTAACTTGTGTAGATTTGGCTTGAACCATTTATTTTAGTCATTGGATAAAATTTTAACTTGTATAAAAGCTTATGTAATAAAAAAGTATCGTGCTTCGATTCAAAGCCTAGCTAGCTTTAGAGTCTATCAGATTGATCTGATATACTAACTCTTATTTTTATTTTATTATTTTTTATACTACTCATTTATATCTTATGATATTATAATTGAATGAAAAGTAATCTGATTTTTTTTATATGCAGAAGGAGACAACAACGCAGTATATTAAATTGTTGATATGAGTATATTAAATTGCTTACACACAATTTGTAGTATTTATTCTTTTGGATATGTAGAATTTTGTACTACTTTTTTTTTTATAAACAATTTTGTACTACTTTAATTTATTAGTTAAGCAGATTTTTTGAAAATTTTTATTCTATATTATGCTGTTTGGATAAATATTAAATTTATGAATTTTTATAAAATTTTTAGTAGTGTTGATCGTATATTTTGTTTGAATAAATTTTTGTTGTCTTATTTTTTTAACAGTCTAATAAGCTAAGTCAGACTTTTTTTTTTTAAATAAGTTAGGTCATAGACTAATAATTATATTCATAACAGGTTACAAATTAAGTTAGTCTGACACATTTAATCACATGTTTAACCTTTCAAGACTAAAATTAAGCAGAACCTAACCCATTAACACCTCTAGTTGTAGGTATTATACGAGCAAACTTTTAATACACCCGTTTATTAAAATGGATAATTTTTTTTTTTTCCATTTTAACCTTTTTTTTTTATGTATTTCTTCTCTTTATGTCCCTTTAAACTGTTCTCGTTTAGTAAAAAGGGATGTTTTAAAATTTTGATACACCAATAGTATTAAAAAAATATCCGTATTATCATGATGTGTATTGTGTAGTGTAGGGTAGTACAAGAATAGCAGTGATGAAATGAAATCACAGATCTTTTCACTTTCATTCGGACCAAACACTGTCACCTATATAGAGGGCCAGAATGAATTCATCTTCCTCTTCACTATACTCTCTTTTTTATTGTATTTTATTTACTGTTCGATGATAATTTTCCTAAAGATTTGTTTGTTTAACCAAACCAAATCAACCCAACCCAAATTGTACTTGTAATTTTTTGTATTTTTTTTTTAATTTTTCTTTTTCAAGTTTGGTATGGAAGTAGGGAAATTGAATGGCAAGAACTTTTTGGAGAAGCAGCAACAAGAAAAATTTTCAGAGTGGTGGAAGTTGCACGGACAACAACAAAACAAAAGCTTCCTGCTTCATTAAAAGCTGGAAGAGCAAATCAGAGAAAAGTCTCTGACTCTGGATCCTCAGCATCAAAACGCTGTCGTTTTTAACTCTAAGAAACGCTCTTCTTCTTCTTCTTCTCCTTCTCCTTCTTCTTTTTCACACGAGCATGCTGCAACGACGTCGTCGAGGCAAGGGAAGATAAAGATGAGGGGAGGAGGAGGTGGTGGTGAGATAGTGGAGGTTCAAGGTGGTCACATTGTGAGGTCCACCGGAAGGAAGGACCGTCACAGCAAGGTTTGCACGGCGAAAGGGCCGAGGGACCGCCGTGTGCGACTCTCGGCCCATACCGCGATCCAATTCTACGATGTGCAAGATCGATTGGGCTACGACCGGCCCAGTAAGGCCGTGGACTGGCTCATTAATAAGGCCAAGTCCGCTATCGACCAGCTAGATGAGCTTCCACCGTGGAAACCCACCGTCGCAGTAGTTGAAAATGTTCAAAACGACGACGACGCAGCAGAGAACGAAACGACGACGCTCCGTGATGAACAAGTGGGAACTGGTTTTCTTCCGTTGGAGACTGATACTGATATCGCTGATACTATTAGGTCTTTCTTTCCGACTACAACGACGTCGTCGCCGATTCAGTTTCATAACTACCCGCCGGATTTGCTTTCCAGAACGAGCAGCCAGGACCTAAGGCTCTCGCTTCACCAGGCCCAGGCCCAGGCCCAAGCCCAAGCCCAGCACGGGCTTTTCAACGGAACCGCTACGCTTGGGTTTGATGGAATGGTAGCTTGGAATGCTGCTGATACTGGTAATGGTAATGGTAATGGTAATGGTGGTGGTGGGTTTGTCTTCAACGCCGCTCCTTTTCCGTCGCCGTCGGTGTTGCCGGCGGTGATTGGCCATGGCCAGTATGTTTCTCAGAGGGGACCCCTTCAGTCCAGTAACACTCCTTCGATTCGTGCTTGGATTGACGCGCCGTCATCGTCGTCGTCGTTCGTCGCCGATCATCGTTATCATCATCCTCATCAGTATCTTTCGCCGGCGATGATGGTGCGTCAGTCTTCTTCTTCTTCGGCTGCGTCGGGGATCGGATTCGCCTCAGGCGGCTTCTCCGGTTTCCGCGTGCCGGCACGGATTCGGGGTGAGGAGGAGCACGACGGCGTTTCTGACAAGCCGTCCTCTGCTTCCTCTGATTCTCGCCGTTGAACGCCGACCTCCAAAATTCTCGAATTTTCCTTCTCCTTCAATAAGGTACGTTATCTGCTTCTTCAGCTATGTTGTTTTGTCCCTTCAGAATTCGTGATTCCCTTCAGAACCTGCAGTGATTTTCAGCTACAATTGGGAAATCAAGAACCAGGGTTAGGAGTTGGAGTTGGAGTTGGATTTGGAATGGTTCGGTTCAATGGCGTAAATGCGTGGGGAATGAAGAAAATCTGGGGTTGAATTTCCAGGTTTTCCAATCCCCCTCCAGTTTCGTTCTGTTAATTTTATGTTTTCATGTTTTGATTAGAGAGACTTTTAAGTCCGAGTGCTATGTTTGTTTCTTTTTCGTCTTTGTTGGATTGCTATGTTATGTTTGATGTTTACTTCGTTAAAATTTGTAGTGGTTGTCTCCTATCTACTTTGATATTAGTTTTTTAGTTTTGTTCTTAGAACATGCACGTAAAAATCATCACAGCTAGTTTGCTCCATTTATCTTATATTTTCCATCTTAGTGCGGAGCCAGATTCAAAGTGAGGATTTATCTCCATTGCAAAACAGGGCAAAATCCCAAATAACACCAATTAGTAGTGTGTGGTGCTAAAGGTTCAAGTTGGTTGTTACTGTCTTGTTTCAATTGATGGAAAGAGACGGGTATTTTCCTTCCCGTTTGGAAAATGCCCTATGTTTTCAAAGAGATGGATCAGGGTTTTCTCTGTATGAGAAATGATTGTTTTGATACTTCTTACTGCTTTTTAGTGCCATCCCTCTATAGCTTCCTAATGTTGCTAGAAAGAATTGAAAGATGAATGTACAGTTTTATTGTCTCTATGATCTATCTCTTTCGTGCTTGAATTTTGGGAGCATTTGGCTGAGAGAAGTCATTGTCCATGAAACTGTAGAAACTATTTTACAAAAGAAAGGAGTTGTGTGAGAGTTGATCCCGAGCTTGTTAAAAGGGAAATGTTCCTAAATTCAGTATGGTTTTCTGCTTTTCCTTTCCCATGTCATATTCGTAGTTCCTCTTTAGCCTGTTTAGTATGTCATGATGCATGATAGTGACTGAAGGGATGATTAGGAGGAATCAAAATTTACATGATAAAGGAAGGGAGGCAACCCAAGTCATCTTGATGGCGGCTTACCTACTTACCCAGCTAGTGTAAAGTATAGTACAAAGGAAAGCTTTGGCTTCTGGTAAAGTGGTTTCTATTTCTATCATTGGGTTTGGAACCTGATCTTCCCTTTCGGAACCAAAATATCATTTTTTTTATTATTGTTAAATTTAGGTTATCAACCTCACTGCAGTAAGATGAGATATTGAGTAGTGGGGGAATCTGTAAGTCGCAGTCCATACTCCTGAACCAATAACTTGGGTAGATAAATCCTAGTAGGTAGAACAAGTGGGGTAAGTGGAAAAGGGAAAGGGATGAGCACAACGAAGCTCAATTATGAAAGAATTCACAGACACAGGTGCCACCAAAGTGTGGTTCTTGTCCATCCGTCGATGGTCCCCTACCCCGAAAATCTCATTGCCTTAAAAAAAGTTTGTAATGTCCAGCTGGAAATTGCTTTATTGAAGGGGGATAATGAAAATAAAGAAAAAGAAAAACCATTGGCCTTTATTGAGATGGTAGTAATTGTTTTTTAGGTTGTTGGTGCTGCTAGTTGGTTGATAAATAACATTACTCGAAAAAGTTGAATTGGTCATTATACAGCACACAATTCTGGGTTGCCATATCTGCAAAAATCTGGCAATAATTAATGACGGTGTTACCATAATGAGTCCGACCTTCCTGTGTCTTACTTTTTCTATATGAAGCCATTCACTGACTGCAGGATAATTTATTACAGAACAAGCTGAATTATATAACCATAGCCCCAGTTTTCATTGGAAGGGAAGACCTTATTTTTATTGTTTCTTTATTGGAGGGTTGGTGGTAATGATGGAGAATAAAATATAGCCGGTGTGCTTTATTTTATTTTCCTTGCTTCTTTGCAATTCTAACGAAACTATTTGATCTCTCATAATACGTGTGATGAAGATTTCAATCACTACTCCTGAAATAAAGGGGATAGTAGACCATTCTATAGTTTCAACCAAAACTAGGGAATTTCATAATCATGCATGATCATGCAAAAACAGATAACAAAAGTAAGTCTCCTAATTTAATATGCACACCAAATGGTAGATTCTCACCAAGCCAAATATGGAAAATAAACTCTAAAAGAAGAAGCCATGAACCATCAAATTGGCTGCTTCAGTGTTATCCCAAGATGATACAGATGATAGCATGGGCTATATGGATACATCGTTCTTTGACAGCCCTGAAGTGCTGTTTTCCTTTCCTTTCCCAGTCTCCTTCCCATTAGACACAGCAGGTTTAGCCAAGGGCATTTTGCTTTCACTATGGTTCATCTTATCTGCTTTGGTTTTCTGCTGCTGGCCATTGAGTTTCTTTGTTTTGGGGGACTGAACTAGAGCCCGCACTTCCCAAGGACGTGCTGCAACCCAACGCTCCGTCCAGCTCCAACCCCAACTTTCTTTACCAAGGCTATAAGATGCCTGACCAAAATACTGGCTACAGTTTGGCCTCCACTGCAATATCATATTCATACAAGTGGTCAAATTTTGATTTTTGGTAAGGATAAAGCAATTAGAACAAGTTCTGCACCTGATGAGAGAACGCATATGCCATTGCTCGCTCTCGTTTAATTGCTGCTTCTTCTCGTTGATGTATCCTGGAAAGTATCTCTTCCATTGTTTCAGAACCACTGCACCATTCAACCTGACATACATTTACCAAAAGAAAATGCATGTTTTGTTAATATTGAATGGATAGCCAAAAGATCTTTAAATTGCAAGAAACGAAAGAGAAATCGACCACTATATTGGTGATAGCACTTAAAAAACGGCTGAATTCAAGCCATCACAGGCAAATGGTAATAACACTACCTCGAGTTCATTAATCTTTGCCTCAAGTTTTAACTGGTTTTCCAATTTCTTTTGCTTAATCCTGGCTTCTGTTATCATACAGATTCTGCGAGTTCTAATTTGATCTTGTATTCTGCTCCATGAATGTATATAGCTAAGTGCAGTTGCTGTTTGCTCTCTGGCCAAGTGATCTTGAATTAGAGCTTCGAATTTCACTGCTCCCCTTAGATGGTTCAATGTTCTTCTTGCCTGCATAGGTATGGGGGGCAGCAGGGGGAAAAGTTCACTCAAGTCACCAAGTCAGTGTGATAAATTGCTTAATATTTGAGAAAAAGCCTCAAATCAATATCTCTAGAAGATAGGAAAGTACAAAATTAGCTGCCATTTTGGGGTATTTAAAATTAAGCTGTCAGTCACTAGAAGATACTAATCTTCAAAACAGGATTTGTAGTTAAGCAGCTAAGTATAACAAACAGATGGTAGAAAACAGTAGATGAAGATGACGCAAATCGTTGATTCACAGAAGTAAAATGCTTTCCCAACTGCTGTTAAAAAGAGAGTAAGAACTGCATAAATAACAGATATTGTTCTCTATATCCCTAGGACAAAGCTCCCCATCCAGGGTCAGAGCACGGTCTGAGCTTTATTGCTTAAATTTGATTCTTTTCAATATACATGAGTAATATCTAATTCCAAATTCATTGCTTTTCGTAATAAATTACTAAAATCCTCTGATTTCTCTCTGTTAAATGCAACATGAAATACAGCATTATAGGCATAAATGCAATGAAAATTGGGACAACATGTAACGGAATAAATGGTGTCCAGCACCACACAGATATTGTACCATAAATGAACGAAATGCATTTTGAATCCGAGTAGCAGCAATATCATCAATCATCCTCGAGGGAACTGTCCGGTCCATCATCAAACTTTCATTCGGATTACTATTATACTCTTCATGAGTGGTTTGCTTCGAATTGGAGGATTCATTTGATTTTTCAGCAGTAGATTGTACCTATTCAAAGAGTGGGGAGAGAACAAACAGCTGCCATGGATGTGCTAAGTCATGGTAAAAATATCTTGCTTGTAATGAGTTTGCATATCAAATTATCAACTGCGGATTTTTCCTGAACTCTTAACGTTTATTTAAAAAAATATGTATTTAACTCAAAAAGCAAATGATACATCAAAAGTCAAGAGAACAAGAAAAACAAGTAAATTTCACAAATATTCTTCAACTGCTCCTTGGCCAGCTAGTCCTTGAAGATTTACTGAAAAGAGAAAGAAAAGAAATAACCTTATCTTGTTTGGATTTATCTTCCTTCCGTTTCTTCAGTTTGATTATTATCTTAAACCATTTCTTTGGACCCATTCCTATTTCTCAAGAAGGTAAGAACAGGATAACAGCCAACAAGAAACCTGCATAGCCATATTCGAAACCGATATGTTGTAAAGGAGGAGAGAGCATAGAAGATCATAGACTCCATAAATGTTTATAATGTAAACAGTAAAATGGAAAGATTAGTCAAATTTCCTAGATGGGCAAAAGCAAACAGGACATTTCTCTTCCTATCAACCAAATGAACAAATAAGCAAAAAAAAATATATATATATATATATATATCAAATTGAAGAACAATTGCGAAATAATGCTCCATTACCCATTAATAATTTGATGTAAATCATCATCATCATATTATAGGAAGGAAATTCCCTCATATGGTGTCCCTTTTCTTTTAAAATCTCAAAACTCCATTTAAACTTTCATGGACTTTATTTTTTAGATTGTTCTAAATATATTACAGTTATTTAGTTTTCATGCAAAATTCCTATCATACAACCTATCTAAATTATAATTCTTAAGCCATGGGATATGGGTCTGAAATCTTTCAATCTCAAAGCCAGAACTTACTGAAATCTAGCCTAAACTAACATGATGCCAGTAACAAACATGAGGCCTATACTACCCTTGCAAAATGAAAGAAAACTTCTACCCCAAAATTAACTATGCAAACACATCATTATACATTTTGACTGAAAGCAAGTGGCACAACAAAATCATCACCACAAACATTATATGCCAAGGTTTTTGATATGCAGTACGGAGAACATGAAAGGAAGATGCAAAAGAATGGAAATGGGAAGTGGCACATACCAGGCTGAGAGAAGAAAAAGCAGGCACACAAGGAGTTTCCTTTGGATAGGATGATAAATGGTTGAGTAGTAATGGTAAGACGTGGTACATTGTAAGACAACCCATAAAAAGATCGAAAGAAAGAGAGTTCCATAATAGTGGAGTGACAACCCAACCACACTGAAGCAGATGTTTGATCTCTTGGAAGTTTAGGAGTCCAGAGAAAGGTGAGGGAAGGTAATAGTCATGTTCAGTTGTGTTATTGAAAATGAAATACTATACTTAAATCATTAAATGAAAATTGAGTGAGAGCCATTTGAATGCTTTTTTCTTTTCTCTCTCTCTCTCTCTCAAGCTTTCAAGGCTGCTTAAAAGAAATATTTTTGGCTATGAATGAGTGTTAACATATCAAATTTTTTAAAAAACAAGTAGAAATTAAAAAAAGACAAAAACCTTAGTTATTTTAAAAGATAAAACTCTGTGTCATTTTCATAATACTCTCTCCTTCTAATTTTGTGGAGGAAAGAGAAGGCAAAAAACTAATAAATATATATTAAAATTAAGGATGTTCATCAATCGATCCAAACCGATTAAAACAACGGTGACTGAATCAAAAAACAGAAAAAAAACTCCAAAAACCAGCATATTTTAATTGGATTGGATTGGTTTTCAGTTTGGTTGGTGAAAACCGATATAATGTATTATGTATTTATTATTTTCAAAAAATGGTGACTTGGAATCTTGTTGTTTTGTAGACTTTAAATCTTGGATGTTATTGATAGCAAACTATTTTGTTTTAATTTTTTATTGTCTATTAATCTATTTTAACTCTTCATGAGTCTTAAAACTTGTTTTAGTTTGAAGATTTGAATTTTCTTGAATACGATGGGATTAGATCGAATGATTTTTACTTTAAAATCGATCTAATCCAGACCGCGAACCACCCTAACCATAATAATGTTGTTTCATTTAGAATAACACAAAATTGTGTCTTTTAAAAATGACAAATGTTTTTCCTTTATTCTTGTTATTGTCTATCACTTTTTTCCCCATCAATTATTTAAAAAAAAAAAAAGGAATGCATAAACTGTTGCATAAAGAACCCTAATAATTGGGAGGAAATTAAGGTAGAGATCAAATTATGCTGGTTTGTATTTTTAGGCACACTTGGATGATAAATTAATCACAATGTAATAAAATTCAAAAGTGTTATTTGAAATTAACGGTGGGGTACGAGCGTTTTAAACATTAGAGACATAATTATTTAAAGTATTAGGAACATTATTAATTTTAAAAAAAGTTAGAATAACGTTGGGTATATTTATAAAAAATTTCCATGTATAAAAGCAAGGGTAAAGTGATCCCTCTAACCAAATACTTATATTTTTTCTTTTTCTTTTTCTTAACAAACTTCAAACAGTAATTTTTTAGTACAAGAAGTTACAACAGTATATCTCCCTAAATTTAAAAGTAGCTAACTTTTAGATGATTTAGCAGTTGACTAACTAATTTTAAGATAAAAAAATTTGGATCATTTATTTTAATTGCCTCCAAGATTAGGTCATCGGAGTTCTTTAGATTTCGTAGCTCTGTTCGTTCTAACGCTGGTCTTATAGTTGACCATTAATTTAAAGATTAAAAAATGGACCATTAATTTTAATTGACTCCCAGACTTGTAACATAAGGGAGTTCTTGACTTCTTGGGGTACTATTAGCTCGGTTGGTTAGAGCGTTGGTCTTATGGGATGAAGGGTGCGAATTAGAGTCTCGCCTATAAATATCCATATCCATGTACGATGTCTCTGCCTGTAGATAGGTAAATAAGTACTTTATAAAAAATTATATACTTATTCAAGTTAAAGTTATTTTTTTAAAATGATTTTAATTAATAAAAATATTTTAAATATTAAAATTAAAATGTATTTTTTAATTTGATGATAATGGTGATGAGCGTGATGACTGGTGGTGGGGTTGGTTAAAGTTAGAGATGGGAAATTTTATATTTTAAAAATTATTTGACTTTTAACTTTTATTTTTTACAAAAGAAATTTTAACTAAAAAAAATATTATTTTGATTATTTTAAAAAAATATCTATCATTTTAAAGAACACAACTTGTTATTTTAAATTAAACGACTATGTTTTAAAATATATTTGTTGGTCTTTTGCATTTTTTCTCATCCACGAAATTAGGAGTGGATAGAAAAAGAGAGTATAGAAGAGAGAATATAAAAAAGTAACAAGTATGCACTAAAACATAATTGTTTCTATGTCCAAAAAAAAAAAACATAATTGTTTCGCTTAAAATGACACAAAGTGATGTCCTTTAGAATACAAATTTTTTGAATACCACAAAAAAAATACAAACTTTTTTTCCTCCAAAGAATAAATATGGGGAATTAAGATGAACTTAAACAATAAAGAAAGCTCATCTATTATTATATAATATCAATACTGGTTAGCAGGGAATAAATATGGATTTTATAATACAAATGGATAATTTATATGCATAAGACATGAATTTATTGCATGCATGATACATGAATTTTGCATGCATGAAATATATATTTATGCAAAAAAAAATGTTGACTCATCTGTAAACCTTACATGTATGAATGTTGACCAAAAAGAAATTTATTTATTTAGATTTATAAGGAAACTTCTCTAATCTCAAATCAACAAATAAAAATAAGAAGAATTTAGATTAATCAAGTCAATATATATATATATATATATATATATATATATATATATATATATATATATATAAGCATCTGTCATTGTAAAGGATATAAACTTATATCATTTTAGATTATAACCGTTGATTTTCGTCTATCAACAGTTACAATTTATTGGATCAAAATAATTAATTAATTAATAATAAATTTGACCCATTAAGTTTGACCTAATAGATTATAACCGTTAATAGACGGAAATCAACGGTTAGGATCTAAAATGATATAAGGTTATATCCTTCAAAAGGATAGATATTTTTCCCTATATATACATATATATATATATATATATATATATATATATATATTATCACCTAATAATCTCAATTCAATAAATTATAAAAAGAATGTAATTAAGAATATCAATTACCTGGTAGCATGGTCATATTCTTCAATCTCCATGTGTTCAGGAACCTGAAGAGAGTATCAATTACCTTGGGGGGAAAAGAATGTAAAATCTGCTATAAAGGAGTCCTAATATATTTTTGGGGGGGGGGGGGGGGGGGGGTGATCGGAACAGGTTTTTACAACTGGGCCGATCATGTGATCTTCCTCTGCAGCCTGGAACCGTCTTGGGCCAGAGCATCTTGCAGTTGGGTCGCTTTATCCCATGGGTCTTCTATGGAACGAGATGTGGGGTGTACCTGCAAGACACTCTGACGCTCAAGTCAGTTATGGTTCAAGCAGGTTTTATTATGCAAGAGAAGATGATGTACCTTAATGTTGATACATGTATTTATAGTAGAGTGATGTGTGCTTGGAAGATGCCTTTCTTCATGTGAAGGCAAAGGTTCCTTGGTGCCAAAGTAGTATGGATGTCATGATTAAATGTTGAGGAGCTTGCTGTCATGGTGTCTTTAAGGTTGAGGAGCTTGCTGGTTGTCATAAGCTTGCTGCTATAGAGGTGTCTTTGCTGTCATAAATATTGTTCAGCTTGGAGAGGTGGGTTGTGCAGCCTTCATTGACTATGAGCTTTCTTAGTAGTAAAGGCTTTTAGTTTGGGCCTTGTATTTGTATAATATTTATCCAGATCAGAAGCTCCCCAGCTCGTTGCTTATGCCGAAGGCATGAGGAGCGAGATGTATAGGTCTGAGGTGACTTGTCTATTTATCAACCTGGAAAATTCATTGCGCTTGTTCCTTTATCTGGAACTATCGTCTGTACTTTGTATGGGTGCTTGAGAGGTTCATGATTGTATTCTGCATTTTGATACAATTCATAATTCATAATGTATATATTTTGCATACCTGTTATCGCGCTAGAACTTGGAGTATCGCGCTTGAACTTGGAGGATCCTTTTGGGGGATCTTTGTAAATGGAGGATTCTTTTGGGGGATCCTTGTAGTTGGAGGATCCGAATGAGGGATCCTCGTACTTGGAGGATTCGTGTGAGAATCCTGTTATCTGATAGGATCCGTGAGAGGAATCCTTTTACTTGGAGGATTCTTGGGAGGACCCTGTTACTTGATAGGATCCGTGAGAGGAATCTTGTTACTTGGAGGAT